TTTGAAATTTTGTTCCCGAAATCAGCATCCGGGACACGTTTCATTCAGCCGATTTCAGAGCTCTACGCGATGTTATGCACAGAACTGACGAATACCGGTAGTACATGTAGCAATCGCGCACGTGTGTGCATCGTGTCAATGCTTGCGCGCACATGTTCACAGATTCGCCAAATTGCAAACCTACTAATAATGCAAAGTTCCAAAAAATGCGCCACTTGACGCATCTTTGAAAGACTTTTATTGTTTTCTTCAAAGTGACAGCATGCTACCGTATAAGGAATAATTTCACAGGGAGTTTAGTGCCATTACTAAAACCTTTTCAACAATAATTTTGTCAGTTACTTTTTGGATAGCTGCAAATAATCTACTCTACCTTTAAACAATTTAATCCATGTAGCTGAGTTGACTAATTAGAAAGAAAAAGAAGTTCGCTACAAACAGGAGTTTAGTTTGTTTCGTATATTATACACCCACTGTACCGCTATTGTTTTTATGAACTGACACACAAGCACTGCGTCAACTGATGCTTTAAAAGGTTTGTCAGTCCGTGGTGTCAGTGACGATTTATGCATGGTCATTATTAATTTTGCTTTCATTAATGGAAAGCATTGCATTATCTCACAAACAGGATATACATTGTCATGACCCGGAGTTGCTAGCCCTTGCGGGTGTACACATCACTATGTATTAATGGCTTTTGCGTGATACAGGTTGAGCAGCTAATGAAAAATCATCTGTCACATTTGTTGTAATGATAAAACGTATACGAGAAATGTTCACTAAATGTCCATTTCACCGTATGCAATGAGTTGGGTTCGAAATGTTTGTGAGTGATTTTTGATATTTTTTGTCTCAGTATACTCAGCGCGAAAGCAAATTTATGCAACTTTTGTTGTTGTTACACTGTACACTCAGTGTTTTGTCAGAGGCTTGTGAGAAAAAAACTCACGAGCAAATGCATAACTCGGGTAAATTTGTGAATTACTCGGGTAAGGTCTTGAAGTTGTACATAAAATACATTTGTAACTTTACTGAGCTATGTGATTACATGGCATATGATGGGAAAGATTGAGTTTGCGTGGGTTGGGAGTGAGGTTGGGCATGTTGGGGGCACGTGTACTCATTGACAGTTCAACTTTAATAAAAACTGTTTTAAAAATCCTCAATTTTGTTTTTCTTCAACTGTCCATGATCATAGCTGATGTAGTTTTGTTCTATTTGTTTAGTCATACCGGTAGTTCATTATTTACAACAGTACGTGTACATGTTTACTGTTACATGTATTCAATTAAATTAAATTAAATGGAAGTCAACTTTACTATACTAAAGGAGGGGAGTTAATAATGTGCATGCAGATTCCCTGACTGGCTTATCTCTAATCCTAAGCTCTTCATGAATAATTTACTTTACTGTGTCCATTGACCCTGTAATGCCTCATCAGTTCCTCTTCATTAAGACCAACAATTATCTGCCTGAGTGAATTCACTGCCATGAATGGCTGCAGGTGGTAAAATACGAAAAGATTGCTGAGGATCATGCTTATTGATTGGGCTGTCACACAATCAAGTTACTTGTGTTGTGCATACAGCTGTGTGTTGTGACTGGTGAACCATAAAGTGAATCAGCCAGGGCAACCAGTGTAAACATGTACTGCATCTGCTTCAAGCGGTGAAATGTACACACTTGTACAATGTGTAAAATTTTTAAAACAGGGTAACCTGTGTGATTCTTATTCTTGTCAACTTTCATCGACTTGTGTAGTTGTAAAGGTAAAGCATAGAATTTTGTAACATGTTTTAGTAGTATATATATTTACAAATACCTCTAGGTTTATAGTGCAGACTTTTAGGACCACCTGTTAAAAAAAGAAGCTAAAGATTTGCCTAATTTCTGCATCACTGGAAACAGAAAGTTCTTCATTTAAAGAAATTTGCTTTTTGAAAGTAAACAAAAACAAAAATAAAAACCCTATAGTGTGTGCCAAAAAAAGATTGAAGTTTTTTTTTTCAATTTCAAGAATAATTAATGTTAGTTTTGGTGATTTGATTTCTGTTTGGCAGAAACTTTGTCTAGTCGTTTTCAGTGAAGATGCGCTGCATTGAAGATGCACATGATGCATTTGGAAACAGATTATTATCTTGCACAGTTTTTACATGTGTTGTCTTGAAATGGAATTTAGATTTTCCTCAAATTGAAAAGGGACATATTTTTGTAGTGGAAAAATCAGTGGCCTTACTTCAGATGCATGTCATGGGTATCATCACTGGAGGCTACAGACTGAGCATGGCTCCGTCCCATTCGGCCTGGCCAAAGCCAGCCGATCAAATCCTCCCCAAATCTGCCCTTGAGGCTTTAAGAGATCTACATGTACCACGTCATCACGCGTATCTCAAGCAGAAAATGGCCTGGCAGAGAAGCTTTATTCCCTCTTACGAGACTGTCCGTCCCCTGTGGCCTTCTCCGACCCATCCCTCTCTTAAGGATACCTGCACCTTGGGATGAAGGTCTGCAATCCATAATCATTAGATGGAGATGATGGTGGGCAAATGTTTTTACTGAGAAGTGGAGGGGGAGTTGGGGGGGGGGGGATTTAAGTACGGGGTTGTAATTTAAATTTGCAAGGACTTCCTGTTGCTTACTTTAATTACAATCCTGTGTACATGTACACGTACACATTGTACACATATGCACATGTACATGTAGCTGAGCTACCGGTACATTACAATGTACATGTGTAGCTACTGGTACATTATATTCCAAGTTGCCTGCAAGAAGCCTCGGTATTTATTTGTTCCAGTGAATGTGTTGCCTGTGGCAACGTGTATACTATGTGGGCTGCATTTGTGGTTATGTCAATGTCAAAGGGATGTTGAATACAATATACCTATTCATAAGATGTGATGTTAATCAAATTAGGTTTTGCCCCAGTTGTACATCAGATTCGAACCAGCCAACTGATCCCGTTAGCTCGGTGGTCGAGTGGTAAGATGTCTGCACTAGAAAGCAGGAGGTCATGGGTTCGAGTCCCACCCGAGTGATTTTTCCAACTTTCACTCGGGAGGTAACACACTGAGTATACAGTGTACACGTATATACGTTGGTGAAGGACAAAACACCCCGACGCAAAATTCCATCTTATGAATAGTTAATGCGGTACCTGCTGCTATGTACATCAGATTCAAACCAGCCAACGGATCCCTTTAGCTCGGTGGTCGAGTGGTAAGATGTCTGCACTAGAAAGCAGGAGGTCATGGGTTCGAGTCCCACCTGAGTGATTTTTCCAACTTTCACTCGGGAGGTACATGTAACACACGGAGTACATACGTTGGTGAAGGACAAAACCTATACATCACCCCGACGCAAAATTCCATCTTATGAATAGTTAATGCGGTACTTGCTGCTGTGTACATCAGATTCAAACCAGGCAACTGATCCCGTTAGCTCGGTGGTCGAGTGGTAATAAGACATCTGCGCTAGAAAACAGGAGGTCGTGGGTTCGAGTCCCACCCAAGTGATTTTTACAACTTTCACTTGGTAGGTAACACACTGAGTATACAGTGTTTATACATCGGTGAAGAGCTAAACCTATTGATTTACAATATCTACTGGTATATTGTTGGGTTTTATAATACCATCTGTGCATTTGCAGAATGTCATAGGCTATTTTATATGTTAAAAAAAAGGTGTACATGTAGATCGACTTGACCATGTTGACTTCTCAACTACATGTAACAACATAAAAATAAAAGTTATTTTTTTTTAATGGTCCCATATTGCTTGTACATGATGTAAACAAACACATGTAGGTGTAATGGATGGTAAAAATTATATCAAAAAAGAGAATGTCAATGTACGTATAGTGTATGTATAATGTACGTAGAACTTAAAGGGAATATACATCATTTGCTTTTGCTGTAATTTTTATAAATGAATGGAATTGGGGGGTTGGAAATATATAGCAAATATAGTTACACTGACTTTTTTGAGGTTTTGGGTTCGAAAATGCTATAAAAACCAAGAAAAACAATCATTTTCCTGTAGTCTGGTTCCCTGACTCCATATAAGAAGAAACAGAGCAGTTTACATACATTGGGGAATTGTAAGGTCAGGGAACCAGTCTAGCTGGCTTGTGCCCGTTCATAGGTGTGTAATCGATTGCAAACAAGTGCGATGGTCAATTGGGGCCAGTATTTGAAAAAACCCCAGTTTTTTCCAACGCTGGTCGGCCGAAATTGATACAAAAATACCACTTTTCTTGAAAATAACAGTATACCAGGTGCCATGATTTTACAGGATGCTAATTACACTGTCATTCACTAACAGTCCAGCAAGGTATTTCAAAATGATTTGGTCGTTTTATTTTTTGATGTTTGCAAATGTTGTATTTTCCCTTTAAACATGTTAAAGAAAACTTGTTCTGCCTTTTTTCAGTTTGCATCCACTGCTGTGCATGGTTTCAATGGGAAATATTGTGTACAAGTTTTACAATCCTTGAAAGTGCATGTACTGGTATAACTAGATCAGAAATTTCTCAACAGAAAAATGGACATTTTGAAACAGAAAATTGTCATTTTTATACGCAGAAAAATATACTCGACTCATTAGAAGTACCATTTTAAATGGAAATTGTATAAAAACATGTCCAATTCTCTTATAAAGACATTATTTCTAAAACAAAATACAGGCCTGTACATGTACATTGTACGTGCATGAATACATGTACATTGTACATAGCTTTTTAAGTAGTACATACAATGCTTCTTTTTACACACACAAAGTACCGGGACCATATGTTATGCACAAGACAAATTAGGGCTGTAAGCTGTGCTCATTAAGACTTGGCCTATTAGTGAAAGCATCTCTATGCAAATCAGTGCCAGAAAAAAGTCACGCACGACCTGCCACCAATTTCTATGTTAAGGTTTCCTCTTTTTTCCCCCTAAGTGTAGCTCTTGACTGTACTGCTCATCATGTCCTGTCTTTTATTTGTCTTCCCACAGGGCAGTGAGTAGGAACGTGCTGGTGATGTTGGCGATGACGTGATGCAAGCGGTCGGTCGGAGAGACATGCAGGTATATTGCCATTGCCATGATACAGCTGTACAGAGAGAGGTTTGCAGCCAGCCGTGAAAGGATGACTCTTATACCTGTACACACTCGCCGGTCTGCAGCTCACATGGACGGACGGACGGCGGGATTATCGTAATTTAGTAAATCTGACACGCCAGGCATGGCTAAATCTCTGCGGCACGCTTGGCTGGCGCACACTGTAATTGGATTACAAGAAGACACCAGATTTGATTGTCCAATAACAAGCTAATGACTTGTTTTCTAAAACTCTGAAAACAAAAAATTATCCCATTTGTTGGGTGCTTGGAGTAGGGGAGCAATCATGGGGGCCAGGGTGTGGAGCATTGGTGGGACCGTCAGTCGGAGAAACAGTGGCTTGAGATTCGCTGTACTTGGAGGCATGCTAGCCCTAGGATGCATTATTGTATTTATTCGATCAAACCAGTTCAGTGTGGACGAGCAAAACAAAATGCTATTGCACAGGAAACTGTTATCAACCGATGATGACCAACAGGAGAATCTACATGTATGGGATACGCCAGAAAGTTGGAAAACTCGATATTTGCTGATGGCGAATCAAACCGACAATGTGACTGCTTTTCCACCCACGACACCCAGACCAAAGAGAGGGATATATCCACCTGATGCCTTCACCCCTGAACAGCGAAGAAAGGGTGCTGTCATACTCCACTGTCTAGGCATGGTGTACATGTTTGTTGCCCTAGCCATTGTGTGTGATGAGTTTTTCGTCCCCTCACTTGGGGTCATCATCGACAGATTCCAAATCTCGGACGACGTAGCCGGCGCTACCTTTATGGCGGCCGGCGGGAGCGCGCCGGAACTCTTCACCAGTCTCTTTGGTGTTTTCCTGGCCGAGAGCGATGTCGGCATCGGAACCATAGTAGGCTCGGCCGTCTTCAACATTCTATTCGTTATTGGAATGTGTGCCATGTTTAGTAGAACCCTTCTGAAACTCACGTGGTGGCCTTTGTTTCGGGACGTTGTCTTCTACAGTATCAGCCTGATTCTTTTATTGGTGTTTTTCCGAGATAACATGATTGAATGGTACGAGTCACTACTGTTGCTGTCCATGTATTTCTTTTATGTACTTTTTATGAAGTTCAATGTGCCAGTGGAACGATTTGTAAAGTCAAGACTGAGCAGGACGATCAAAACAATCAGTGTAGCTGAACCGGTAGGTAGCATTTTTCTTCTCTTCGTTTTTTTGTTTTTGCTTCAAATGCACTCTTAAGTCCCTTACTTTCTGAATCCGCTGGAGTCCTCCACTACACAGGAAACCAATGGCACATTCTCTGTACTCATGAGCAGTCAAGATGCATCAAGTCCCATGTACAAAAAGCAAAACTGTCTGAGCGGTAGGGCTGCCCAGTTTCAAATAATTTAGTATTCGATTATTCGATACTGCGTTTGACCGAAAAGTCGAAGATTTTTCACATGCATCAGCTGTAACTGTGTGCCACACCGGTCAAATACATGTATTGCACACACAGCGCGTCTATTAGAATGTGCGTGCAGCGATTGATATTATGGGCCACTGATGGACATTTGCGCGGCGCCTCTTGTCAAGATCATCATGTGTGTACAGTATATCGACATAGTTTAAAAGTAACTGACTGGCTGACCTTGTGTATTAAAAAATAGTGGCATCTGACAATTAAGCGCCGCAACTTTTAAATTAAAATATAACAGCCGTGTACACAGTACACGTACCGGGCTCATGCCTGATTGAATTGGTGTATTTGGGACAGCCCTAGTCTGAGCTCTACCTTCCTCAGTCCTGCAAATCCTCCAAAGCTTCCTGGTAGATTTTGTATCTCATCACCTGTGAAAGTTAGAAATATGACAACACACAATGTAACATGGTAGCTACCTTATAATGATTCATCTTGCACTCAGCATCAGCCAGGCGGCATCTTCCCTGGTATCTCCACTCTCCTATCTCCCTTATTGTGAATACAGCCAGCTCTGTTGTAGTCTCCAACCCAGTACCGAGTACCCGACCATTGATGTCAGGAACCGGTTCCAGATCATGGGATCGGGTACCAAACTTAAAGCTATAGTCCATCATTTGCAGCTATCAAAAAAGTAACTGACGTAATTATTGTTGAAAAACGTGCTTGGTTGAAAGATAGTAAGGGAACTAAACTCCCTGTGAAATTATTCTTTTCTGGCAAGCTGTCATTTTGAAGAAATCAAGGAAAGAAGGCCTTTCCAACGGTGCGTCTTAATTTAAGACGCACCACAGGCAATTTCCGTTAGTAGTTCGTTTTTTTTTATTCGGCGAAGCGCATGCAAGCGTTTGCACTACGCACACGTGCGCACGGTTGCTATAATTCGTTGTATCGGTGCGCGACATCGCGTAGCTCAGTGAGAATGTGTCTCGAACGCTGAATTCAGGCCCAATTCAAAACATGATGTAGCAACTTTTGATATGAAATCGAGATCCTAGATTGCTGTTTTTCTCGGAATATCTAGCTGAAGCTGAGCTGAAACTTCATCAGGTTAGTTGTTCAGAACCCTTCTTCAGATATTGAGTACGTTTGTTACTTCAAACGAACAAATTGCACAAATTACAAATGATGGACTATACCTTTAACAAATCATTTAGTAACCTCTCAGACACTGAAACAGAAAGGTTTTGAATGTCAATTGTGAGGAATTTTCAGAATGATAACCAGGCTACAAGGGAAACAAAACATTCACATTTTGAAGCTCACAAAAGTTGCAGTTTGTTGTACCTTTAAAGCTACCGGATATGCTCACTGTACACACATCTTGCTGTACTGACGCACCACTGTGGTATTATTATCGTGCAGACCTTTATGAACAATCTGGACAGCAACTTCCAACATTTGAACTTTGGGGTTGGGTTTCTTTAATTGGTACCCAGGTGCCCGTGTTTTGTTTCAATAAGGTACCTGGTTCCTGTTTTACCCATACATGCACACCCTACACCCCAGCATCCCTCTTCAGGACACCAAGGTACCGTAGCTCATCCTTTGTGCTCTCCTCCATCTTGAGTCTTCCACAATATTGCAAACTGGGTGTTAGATTCTGGAATGTTCTGAATACTCAAGAAAGTACAGTATTCAAAATCAGTACAACCAATTTTGCACAGTGAATATAAAACTGTTGTTGAAACTACCGGTACCGTAAATGTTCAGTGAAGGCAGTGAAATGACTACAAACGGTAACTTTGAGAAATGGTTTGTGGGTTTCTTAACTTTTACATTTTAAAGAAAATCTAATTGGTAGGCCTACATGTATTGGAATACTCGTACACGTTCCGTACATGTACATGTACACGGCACGCACATGTACATGTAACATGTCTAAAGGTTTTCGGTTTCCTTTCATGTGGTGAGTTGAATGTGAAACCAAATCATTCAACAATATTTTGTCGTATTAGACGTGTTTGCAATTTTTGACTTGAAACTTCAGTGTTACAGTTAAGACTCGCATTTTGATTGTCGAAATTGATGAGTACACGTATGTAAACTATAATAAAATTGCTTTGCCTAAAGGTACGTGTACGTATGGAAACTTTATTTCAAAGGCCCTTGTGCAGAATTTACGGTTGAACATTGTAGTCATACTTTCATAGACGTTCAGTCTCAGAGAAGCTTTACGGCAAGCGGTTGGTCCACACCCAATATCGTACTTGATTTCGTTTGCTGTATTTCTGTTGCGAAACATGTACACGGTACCGGTACGTTTATGAATGTTTAAAGCATGAGCAAATTATATAAAAACATCCTGTCTCCAAAATGTCTTGGATTCTTTTCACGAGATTCTCCACATACTCCTTTCAGCGCAATCTATGTGTTTTCCCTTTCAATTTGAGAACAAGGAGAAGAAATCCTTTGATCAGAGAACAATGCTTAACTGATGAATTGACGTCAGCGGAAGACGGGACACACAGACACGATTGTCTAATTGTCTATACACGTACACGTATAATGGTATGTGCTTGCATTGGATGCACATTTTGCGTGCAACGGCTTTTCTTGGCAGATGTCAGTTTCAGATGGATGGGAATGTAAGTTTATGTGATAATTGAGCACATGTGGAATTAACAGTGCATTTACCAATACCGGTACTTGAAATTATTGTTTGGGCTTGAATGTGAATTCAGATTCTGTCCTGTGTTCAAATGTTTTTTTTCTACCGGTACACATGTACATGTACATATTTTATACAATTTATATTTATTTATTTATTTCTTATTTTAACTGGGTAGCCCATTCAGTGGAATCCACTAATCTCCCATGGGGCCCAGTAAAGAGAAGACAATGTGAAGAAATTACAGTTTTAGAGGTGGGAGGAAAAGCCCAGAAGAGTATTCTGAGGAAAACCCACGGAATCAGGTAGGGACTGAAAACCCAATCCACATATTGGCCCAGGCGGGATTCGAACCCGGGTCACAGCGGTGGAAGGCGAGGAAAGTACCGCTTCGCCGGCCTGACTCCCCCTAAATTTATACATTTATATACATGTACCGGTACGATTAAAATGTGACAAAAATTACCGGCATACATGCGTATGTGTACCGGTACGTACACATCGTGTGCATTATGTAAGGTGGTATAATGCAATGGGTTCAAACAGATTTTCCAATCTACCGGTAAACAAATATTTGTACAGGTCCATCATCAGATCATTTACGTGTAAGTATTTAATTGACTGAGTGCTAACATCGTATAATAGCTGCCTCAAAATACTATGGCTACGGCAAGGATAGAAATCCATGGTCAAAATAAAAATTCAAATTACACTGAACAAGGTAAATTTACAGACATGTAATGATGTAGCGGGGATGCAGACGTAATTTTCAGAATGTTGTAAAATGTTTTGAACTTCATTTTACTTGATGGGGTTGGGAATCTTCCTATGTTTACGGAACCCAATTAAGTCTGATCGCTGAAAAGAATTCTGATTGTATTAGCATGATATACCGGTAGTGGGTTCCATTGGAAAAAAAATAAGGCAAAGAACTGAAAAAAGAAAAACAAAAATGCCTGCAAGCGAACAGGGCGTCAGTGCAGTACTCATCACGGACTCTCAGTAAACATTGCCCTCTAATCATATCCTCACTGTTCCTCAGTTTATACATGCATGGCACTCCACCCCCGGCGCGTACGGTGGGGAGAAACTTCCGACGCCAAAAACAGTTGACTCTCAACTCGCCAGGGTCTGCTATATTGCCCTGATTGCGGGGTTGATAGTGAAGCTTACCCACACTATCCCTGGGGCTGCCCTCCCCCCCCCCCCAAAAAAAGAAGAAGCGAAGACAGCGATGGATTTTCAAATGCCAGATTATATAAATTAACCATCTTTTTGCCCAAGGTATTGGTATGGATTTGAATGCAAGGTAGCTGAACTTCATGCTCTATTGACCTGTTTGTGGGGAGGGGAGGAAATGGCCTGATAGTGATAAACAAGGCAGTTCTACTGGTAGCTGTCCTCATTAGGTAAAGAAAGAGAAAACAGCTACATGTAGATCGTACTTCAAGGGAATTAAGATACAACATTTGCAAACATCAAAAAACAAAATGATCAAATTATCACAAAATATCTTACTGGATTGTTAGGGAATGACAGTCTAAAGTATCCTGTAAAATCGTGGCTCCTGGTGTGCTGACATTTTCAAGAAAACCTGTATTTTTCCAACGCTGGTCGGGAGGAAACTGGCTTTTAAAAAAAAACTGCTCCTATATTTTCACATTTAGCTATTCCGCATTTTCTTTGCAACTGATTACGCACCCGTGAAGGGATACAAGCCTGCTAGACTGATTCTCTGACCTTACAATTCCCAAAAGTCTATAAATTGCTCCGTTTCATCTTGAGTGGGACCAGGGAACCAGACTACAAGAACATGGTTGGTTTTCTTGGATTTCCCAGCATCTCTGAACCCAAAACGTGAAGCAAATCAGTTTCACAATATTTGCTATAACATACTAATCCTCCAAATCCACTTATTTCTGAAAATTGCAGCAAAAGCAAATGTTGTACATTCCCTTTAAACTTAGGTAAAGGGTTTTCCAGTGCGAAGTTTTTCTCTCAAACAAACCACAAAAGGAAACTTGGACTAGAATTATAAAGTTGAACAAATCAGTCAATTTCTTTGTTCAACTTTATGATTATAATATTAAGTTTCGTTTGAAGACATCCAGC